CAGTGCATTTGCTCGGGTGAGGCCAGCTTCAAGCGTAGGGAGCACACGGTTCCAAACATAGTGTTATGCTGAAAACCAGCTTCTGCATCGGTCTCTTGTTCATTGTTAAGGCCAGACCAAATGTGAGTTTTTCAGAATAAATCTTGTAAAGCTTTCCCATATCCCACTCTCCCCAGAGCTATCAGAAAGATTTCCCCTTCCTGAGGAACTTTGCTCTTTTCTTCATCACTCAAAAGTCACTCTCTGAAATAATACCAAGCTCCAAGCAAAAAAAAAGAATAAAAAATTCACCTTGGAACTGAGCAAAACTAGAAGATATTTTATCTCCATATATCATGGTGGTTTTTTTTTTGACAAACTATAATTTCCGAAAATAGTGGCTGGTAATGAAAGCGTCTTTCCCAGTTGTGAGTCGTATTTTCAATGTAGCATCTTTGGCTTGAATGGAGTATGTCTATTTTACACCAGCTGAAAATCTGATTCCCCAACTACAGCAGTGTGACTGTGTGCTGTTTTCTAATCAAATAACCACTGTGAAATACCTGATTCATTTTGCACCCAACAGCTGTACTTTCAGCCTATGTTCCCAGTCACACTCTGAAAACAAGCACAATAAGAAAGACCGAAACAGCTGCAACTTCTCAACAGAGAAAAAAAAAAGGGGGGGAAAAAAAAGCTTGTCGTCAGGCTCCAGCTTAGGAAGGAAGTAAAACAATTTTTCTTCTCTGTCTCATGCATGTCAGCTGTCTTAGAAAAATTATTACTGCTCTGTTTTGTAACAGAAACTCCACAGTATTTGGTAAACTACAAACTCCGATCTATTAATGGCCACATACAGATTTAGCATTTCTGATGCAGCCAAAACATGCTCAGTATGTCAATGGGCTGCAATTACTTTCCAGGAGAGCTTTGGAATTCACCTCCTGGCCCCAATTATCCTCCTTAAAAGAACTCATGAATCTTCTGTATTTGGACCATCCAGATCGATTTGATTTTAGTTTTAGATTTTGGCTGAAAACAATAAACATTTAGTGAAGAAGGCTGTATTTCCTTTCCAGCATTAGTGCTTTCCAGAGCTGTTTAACTGAATAATTCTATTTAATCGAACTAAAAGCACAAGCAGAAAACAACAGGTGACTACTCCTTCATTGGATAAAGCATATCTGCTTTTGCATTCTGAATATTACTGGCTCCTCAGATGACTTCTTTTAAATAAGCACACCATAGGCTATATTCTGAGTTAGGTCATGAGCACAGTTTTGATGGGTGATGCCATAAACTTCAGTGGCATCACTTGTAAAGATAGGAACTATTCATTATGATGTGTCTCTAAATACATCAAAACTCCAGAATCTGCTAGCCATCATCTACAAAAGGAAAAACTTTGTTCTCAAAAACTACATGTTAAACCTTCTGTTAACTTTTGCAACAATGCTGTGCTATAATCGTGTGGTAAAGAGAGAAAAATGGATGGAGATGGAAATGGAGTCAGAGATCAGGGGGTGGTAGGAAGGCAGAAAGTGATGAGCAGAAGAAATGCAAAAGGAGATGGGAAGATGGCAAGAAAAAAAAAAAACAAAGAAAGAAAAGAAGGAGAATCAAGTGGTTAGCTGCTGGTCCAGTATAAGCAGTATAATGGGAGAGTATGAGAAACATTTTGAAATTAATTTCTCTCAGATTGTGTATCAGCAGCTTGCTGCTGCACCTACCAGCTTCTACAGCACAGTCTTGGAGCTTCAATTCAATTTAGGCGACATGATCACTATGTTTTAAACATCTTCCTTTTTCCCCACAAAATGTTTCATAACAATTAAAGAAAACCTGAAATTAATACAGCAAAAATGTGAATTAAATGTTCAAGCTGTTTCATATTTGGGCACTTCAGGGTGCAGTTGTCAGAGAGAGGTACTGTAATACTATTTCTTTTAATCTCATGGATGATTGCTAGCGCTGAAATTTATGTCACAAACTAAATTGTCTAAATATGGTAAGGTTTGGTATTTCAAAGAGGATACAAGATGAACTGGAGTCACTGGAAGGGCTGAGCTGATTTTCTAATTTTAGTAACTTATATATGAATATTTTTTCTCTTGCTTCTAAATAGTTGGCATGAAAATAGGTTTGCAAGATATTAATGCAATATAACCAGTTTTAAAACAGGTTCTCTGATAGGTAGAATTTTGCAACTCATTTTCTCTGAAAGCATACCTGTCTCTCAAGGGATATAGTCAACTCTGAATAGCCACAAGTTACAAGGGGATTGCACAGGAAAATTCAGTATTTGCATTTACAAAAAGTTAAAAATATGAGTGCAAATGACTGTGCAAATGTGAGGTGCGCAGTAAGTGAAAAACTGAGGATTCTTTGCAACATGTTCCAGAAGATTTGTGAATGAAACAAAAAAGAACATCATTACATTTCTCTGCTAAAAAATGTGGGGAAGTGTTTGGGGATATCTTTTTGATAAATTAAGTCATTGTTAGATTATCCTGATTTTTTTTTTAACCCATTTTACTTCAGTAATGGTCATTTAATGGCTCAATTTTTAATGACCTCCATCTCATTGCAGTTAATAGCTACATTTCCATAGAAACACTGCAAATCTGCTTTAGTTGGGCATTCGCTAATGAACATATTTGAAATCACTTCCTAGATAACTATTAATGAAAAAAATGGAAAAAAAAAGATTTAATGTAAATGAACATTAAATTCTGCAAAAAGCTGTGCCTGCTGTATCCTACAGACCTAGTATCCCTTCCAAGATCATTTAAAGGCAAAGCAAATACTAACCTTTCTATTTGGAGGTAGTGTCATTAAAGGTAGCCAGTAGGCTTATTCTCGGGCTGCTTGCACCAAACCCTCAAAGAAACAGCTCCTACTTATGACAATATGAGCCCAATGCTGACTTCCCCCTGTAACTCAAGCCAATCTAATTCAATGATGAGAATATTTCTGCTAATGGCAATGTGCAGTTTACACAATAGCCTTTCTTTTGATCTGTAACTGAACCTGGAATGGGAAATGTATTCTGGAAATATTTTAATTGTTCCTGGAGTTGGGCAAATGTCTGAATGAAGTGTGTGATGCAGGACTTGAATGAATAATTTAAAGAGTGCTACAAATCAAAATTACGCTGCCTTGCGCTTGCCGCCAAACCTCCCTAAAAGCTTTGTGACAGCCCAGAAGAAATGCTGTGAGTAAGACAGTAGTTGTTATTAACTGTATTTTGTAGATAAGGAAATGGCTGCAGGAAGGTTAAACAAATGGCTCATGTTCGCTGTGTGAACCAGTATCTACATTTAAGAGCAGAGCGTAGGTTGGTCCTCAGTGCGCAGCTCTTAGCATTTGTCTTTCCTGTGCTGAGGACAAACTGCACCTTAAAGTTACCAAGGTTATCATGGGAAGCTCAGGTAAAACTGGCAGGGATGTCACTGAACATTTTGCTAAATTCCTGTCTTTTAGGAGGAAACAGAAACATGATTTTCTCTGTTTTTTCATCTGTCCTTTGCAGTAAATCACTTTGACCTTCTTCCCTGTAGGAGCATTATGAATTTTGCATGATGGGGCAGGTTCTGTGTCCAGTCTGTGCAGAAGACAGAAGTGGAGGTATAGGATTCCCTTTGTCCAGAAAAGGTGCATATACTGGGGACAATACGTACTGCATGTGGTAAGGACAGAGAATGAGTGGAAGGGAGAGAAGAAAGGGAAGGCTTGTGTTTATGAAAAGTTACATGTGCCCAAGTATTTTCTAATTTTTCTAATGGAAGGTTATGGGAAATGGGAAAACTGGAAGGGCACAGCAACTGATGGTTTCAGTTAATGATGGCTGGGGGACAATGCTACTACCTTTGATGACTCTCTGAAGCCTACAGAGCAAGAAGGGTCAAAGGCTGCCAATCCTTCAGGAAGCCCACTAGAAGACAAATAATACTGGCAGAGTAAAAGGACACAAGTCCTTGGCTGCAAGAGGGATCCAGGCTGAGATGCACACCCAGGCTGGATGGACTCTGTGGCAGCTGGAGAAGCCAAGCTCTCCAAGGTGGTCATTGCAGGATGACAGTGCTTAAAATAAGATGGGTGAATTGAGGGTGCTTTCAAATTATTTTGTCTTCTGATGTTTGATTTTGACTGCCAAGTTTTTAAAAGACTGTTGTCTCTGAGTGTTAGATTTATTTCCTTAGTCACCTACAAGGAAGTCATGTAGTATAATCTACCTGTCCAGATTAGTTATGTACTCAGTGGAGGGAGACAGAATTCTCAGGAGGGTGATTTACCACCTATTAAGGGAAACCTGGTTTAGGACAGGAAGAATTGCTGTCCAAAACAGAGTGAATGAGCAAGAGCCCAAAAATCTAAAATGGACTCAGAGAAACTTGAAAGTAGGTGGAGGAGGAGCTAATCTCAATTCTACAGCTGTGAGTCATAGGCTATGGGTACATTAGCAAGTAACTAGGTGCCAGAGGAGTGGATTGGTATATAGAAACAACTAACGCTGAGGCTCCTGCTTCTACATTACAAGCTGTCTTGGCATTTTACACTGAACTAGGTTTAATCCGATCCTCTAGACCAAATGACCATATGAAGTGTGATATCTGAAGCTGTTTGAAGAATCAGTCACTGTTTTGGACCTTTCTGCCCCAGCTGGGGTTGGAGCATATTTGATGTGTATCCAAGACAGAGCTTTCAGTCTAGTTTCCTTTGAAAGAAATCTAGTTTGTATGGACCAAAAATGTTCTGTGAACTGAGCCAGCTGGACTAAGTGGAGATCATGGTAGAATTTGCTCCAAAACCGTTACTCCAAACCACAAAGCCCATGTAAATACTTAAAACGCTGAATGCTCTATTAGGCACTTTGTTTATATTCCAGAAGTTCTATTTTACTCAGCAATTTCAATTTTCTAGTGCCCTGTTAAACTGGTGTAATACTGCTCCTCACTTTTCACCATCCTGCTAAACTCCAGTATGTTTTTTTATTACGAAGGTGTCGTAGTAACATTTACCTGCATGAAGCGTCCCTCCGAAGTTCCCAGATTAGCAACGGTAAGGTTTCCTTTGGTGAAGACAGATATTGAAGTTAACAGGACACTGTTGAACTGGCCCATGAACAAGTCAACCCTCTGCAAAGGAGTCGTAACTTCTAAGCGATATTCATCATCTTGTACTCTGCAGTACGAAGCATTTCTTGAAAAAGCCTGTTTGAAAATGAAGCACAGATGAGTACTGTCTTTACGAGTAGGAATAGATCTTTGTCAGAGTGAAGTCATTTAGCACAAATGTATTTGACCAAAAGTATTTTAAAATGTTTCAAACTTAATTGCTTCATCAGTTATGATGTTCCATGAGGAAGGCAATGACTACTTAATGTTATGCGAGTGTTTCTTTTAACTTTTTTTTATCCTGTCTGTTGGGAATAACACATAGGGTCTTTATTTAACCAGATGATATGTGTATAAGCACATCTATCAAAGTATCCTTTCTCTTAATGACTTCCATAATGCTGCTTCTCCAAGGGTCTCAGAATTCTTTGCAGAGCCTGACCAGTGACACACCTGCTTCTAAAACAGTGATTCCTAGAAAACAATTCTCTAGAAAGTCACAATTTTTTAACCTTTTCTTTTGCATTAAAATACCAATTTCCAGTTCTATTCTATTCTCTATTTCTGTTCTTTTCACCACCTTTTTCAGTGATAAGACAGAAAAGCGGATAAAAAGATGGAGAAAGAGAAAAGGGAGATAAGCCGGGAACAATATGTTTCTGATGGTATATTTAAATGAAACTATGGAGATGCCAGCTTTTTATAATTACTTAGGCTATTGTATTGATCATCTATGGCTCATGCACTATTTTGTCCAATCTCTGTATGTCTTGAGTGCACTATAATAGTTGCTGCATTTGCAGGATTTTCTCTTTCAGTTTGGGAATAGAGATTACATGTTTTTAATTTTCATTGGAAAAATTCTTGAACAATACACTTTAAGTTATCTCCGGAGAAGAATATAACCTGCTGTCCTGACAATTCAATAGTAATCTATTAACTGATAATTCCATTACTATTGATACTACATCATCTGTTTTGGTGAGATTGTACAGATAATAACCAGGAAACCCCTAAAGGATCTCTAACCAGTTTACGTTTAGAAGTCATCTAGCATCTTCCCACTGTGACATACTTTATGAATAAACATGTAGAGAGATTATGAAGGATCTTATGGTGGTTCCCTCTGTTGAAACCAATAGAGAGCTTCGATTTTCCTAATTTTTTTTTATTGATTTGTTGTTATTACAAACATGTTTTATTTTTTTTTTAAAAAGCTTGAATTAAACTTTTTAAAGACAGTCAAAGTCTTTCCACTAAATTTAGTAGATCTGGATCATACCCTTAAAGAACAAGAAGGAATAAAATTTTATTTTCTTGATTCAGATCGTTTTCCTTCTACTACCTATAATCAAAGTACTATGAGAAAGCAAGCAATGAACCAAAAATTTATTGCTGGCTTAATTCTGGTGAATTCTGGAGAAAAACCAAAGCATCGAAAATGCTATTAACAAAACGTGCAACCTAACAGCTCAGTCCTTCGCTGTTGAATTGTAATGTTTCTGAACTGTGCACAGCAACAGTGCTGGCGGGTGAAGTTTTCTATGATCCCTAGGAGTTGCAGTCAGCTGTGGTGCCAGCTTTTCTCCGGGTGCACTGTCAATTTACTGTATCATTTAGTTAAAAACCTATGTAAGACCAAACAAGAACAACTGAAATCTCTGTGGACTGCCTAATGATACAGAAAGAAGGCTTCCAGATTAGATCTGATTCAGCAGTGACTTAACAGTTTGGTTATCTACATGCTAAAGCGTTTGCTGTATTAGTTTTGGTATTAACTGTTAAAAGTGTGGCGTGTTTTGCTCAGTAGGAACTGAACTAATGCTTTACACTAGGCACACTGAGTATTCATTGAATACACTTTAAATATTTTTGACTGATCAATAAGGCACATATTTAACTTTGCTTTGGCCACCAAACAAGCTAAAAGCTTTATTCTTTTACACTCATATCCTATCCAGTCTCAAAGTATTTTTGAAACATCTGTGCAAAGATTACTCATACAATGAGTATGAATAGTTCAAGTGCAGAAAGATGTACAGTTTTCATGCTTTTTGAAATAAGGTAGATTTCTGAATTTACCCTCCTCCAACTTGGGATCTCTACTCATTGGTGTAACTCTTTTTTTTCCATGAGCAAATGACTTTGGGGAGAAATCTTTCTGTGCTAACCTTAAAAAAGTACTCCCTCCTATATAGTCATCTTAACACAGTTTGAACATCCTGACACGCCTCATGAAACCCTGCTCAAGCTCTTTTTAACAAGTGGTTAGATTTTCCTGCTTGCCCCAACACCTTTCCTAGCCTCCCCAAAGTCAGCTCAGCCTTCCTCAGAGATGTCGTAATTTTGGGTATCTGCCCAAGAACCTGCAGACTGTTCCACATATGGCTCTCCTACAAAACCTGGCACTTCATGGATTAACCATAATGTAAGGTTAGCTGTTAAGAAATAGAAAGGCTTTGATCTTTGAGTAGAAATGCAGAGATTAAAAGGCTACTTAGAAAACTAAAGGAAGATTGATAACATGGAAAACTTGGGCAAATAAGCTGCTTTAAATTAACTCTTTGAAGCCTGAATCTCTCCCTCCCTCCCTCTCTCTCAGTATACACGTAAGTATCCATTTGGCTGTCAATGTGGAAAAATAACTGATGTCAGATGATGCACTCTAGATATTATGCCAAGTTCCAGTGAAAAATCACACAACTATTAAAATGGACGATTAGAGAGTGCATTATTCCTTGGGTTGGGCTACGTTGCTTCTCTTGTAGAATGAGAGGTGCCAATTGCACATGATTCATAACATGGGCTTTGTGAAGCTGGTGTAGGTGGAATGCTACTGGAATGCAATGAGGTGTGGGCAAGCCCTACCTTTTGGCCTTGTCCAGAAGGGTAGGAGATAATCAACGCTATCTTGTTTGTTCATAGGGGAAGTTGTGACGTTTCAGAATTTATCCTGGATTCAGTCCACAGAAGATGAATATGCCAACAAGTCTCTAGACATCATCGAGCTGGTCTATCAGGAGCTGTTGCTGTTTGGCAGTTAACTGATGATTTATATATCATATTCAGTGTGCATAAAACTAATATTACGGACAGAGTTGCACATTTGAAGCCAAAAGTGCAAAGTAGGGAGAAAATTTTAAAGCCACTAATGAAAATCTCAAAAAAATACTCAGTTAGGTCAGTGTCAGAACCGATCATAGAATCATAGAATCATAGAATGGTTAGGGTTGGAAGGGACCTTAAAGATCATCTAGTTCCAACCCCCCTGCCATGGGCAGAGAAATCCTCCACTATACCAGGTTGCCCAAAGCCTCATCCAACCTGGCCTTGAACACTTCCAGGGATGGGGCATCCACAACTTCTCTGGGCAACCTGTTCCAGTGCCTCACCACCCTCACCTGATCATAGAGTCTAGTCTCTAGTCTGAATAGCTAGACTCAGGTGAAAAAAAAAATCTAAATTTTTACCAAAGACTTTTTGGGACTTTTTCTGTTATTCGCAGCAACTGGAGTTTGGAGAAACATTCCTCCAGCCTCATCTTTCTAGAGTTGGCCAAAACCTGTTCTTCCTAGCTAAGTGCAGCTCTCAATTAGTAAGCGATATTATGTGTAATGTCTTGATATTACGTTTAATGTCTTCAATATACTAGAAATTAATGACTTAATCACTGCAGAACATGAGCGATTTGGAGGAAATCATTAAAATTAAAATTTAATTTCACAAATTGGAGAAATGGTCTGAATGTAACTAGGCAAAATTTCCTATGGTCAAATGTAGAATACTACAGTTATGAAGGAGAACTCAAATTAAAGTAGGAATAAGCAGGAGTCTTATTTCCTTCTGGTTTGTTTATATGACTTTTAACTTGTTGGCTGTCAGGAATTAAATTCTTAAGTGTCAACTTTTGTTTTCTGCTATGGATCCTGGGAGTCTCCCTCAAGAGAACTGGGCACCCACAAGTGCTGACAACATTTCTCCTTTGAGAATTTCTGTGGCGTAACACGCAGCAGGGGGAAATGAGCTACTGCTAAATGAGCTGGATCCTGATACCCACAAACAGCAAAAATCCTTTTTCAAAGAAACTGCTGTAGAGTGAATGAATAGATGATTCTACACAACAAATTGATTCCCAAGCCGATTAAAAATGGAGACACTGTATGAGTTGCTTATCTCTTCTGTTGTGGAGGTCAGTGAATTAAGATGAATAATAAAATGACAGTTTTCAGGAGGGTGTCCTACTGGAATCAACCACATAATGGTGAAGAATTTATGTGAACAGCAGACTCTGAACAGGAAGAATAACTGTGAGGAACACAAAAGAACCTTATCAGATTTTCCTCTCTAAATTTTCTTGCGTATTTTCAGCCAACACAGTTTTGCTATTCTGTAATACATTTGAATTTTCTGGGTAGTTTGTGGTATTTCTCTTCAGGTGAGAAGTGCCTTTGATCACTGCTTCTCTCCATGTGTGAAATACAAGAAGTGAAATTCTGGCCCAGGTAACTCAGCGAAGCCAGGGTGTTGCCTGAAGAGGATGAGTGACTTGATCAGCATCATGCTGGAGGTCTGTTAGAGGACTGGTGTTAGAACCTGTTTCCCAGTCTCAAGTAAATGAAAGTGAGGGACATTATAAATTCGGCCTATCGTTATCTTTGAAAGGAATTACTCCTTAAATTTCATAAACTCCATAAATCTTCTCAGCTGGTCATATACTGGTCTTTTTACCTCTGGACTCAGTTAGAGATAACTACAAAGATCCTTGGACTTACAGCTCTTTGACAAAATGAGGAGAGGAGAAAAATAACCAGGACAAACTTTCTGCCTTCTGGCACATTTACAGACTCTGTTCACTTCATGCCTTCTACTGTCAGTTCCCTTGGCAAAGGAACTATCTATCTCCCTTCTCCTTTCCCATGTGTTCTCATACCATAGCTGGTCAGAGTCAATAAAGCATAATGAAGAAGAGGAGAAATATATAAATCGCTTTCTGCTATGCTATCACAAAGGAATATTTTTTTCCTCTGCAATTTGCAAGACAGAAAGTTTGTGAAATGGACAAAATTTTAGTACGAGCACTTCTAAAAAGTCAATTG